CTAAAAATAGAAAAATTAGCCAGGGTGGTGGCCGGCGCCTGTAGTCCCAGCTACTCAGGAGGCTGAGGCAGGAGAATGGCATGAACCTGGGAGGCGGAGCTTGCAGTGAGCCAAGATCCAACCACTGCACTCCAGCCTGGGCGACAGAGCCAGACTCCATCTCAAAAAAAAACCAAAACCAAAACCAAAACAAAACAAAATGAAAGCTTGGCTGCCTGCCCTGGCAGGAGCCTGCTACAGGGGCAGAGCCCTCACATAGAAACTCTACTAGGGCAGCACAGAGGGGAAATGTGGGTTTGGAGGCCCCACACAGAGTCCCCAACAGGGCACTACCTAATGGAGCTGTGGGAAGGCAGCTGCCAGCCTCCAGACCCCAGAATGTTACAGTCACTGACAGCTTGCAACCTCATCCCAGAACCAAAACAGGCAACCAACTCCAACCTATGAGAGCAGCCATGGGGGCCACACCCTGGAACACCACGGGGGTGGAGCTGCCCAAGGTGTTGGGAGCCCACTACTTGCCTCACTATGCCCTGGATATGGGACATGGAGTCAAAGAAGATTTTGGAGCTTTGAGATTTAATGACTGCTCTGTTGGGATCAGACTTGTGTGGGACCTATTGCCCCTTTCTTTTGGCCAATTTCTCCCTTTTGGAAAGGGAATGTTTACCCAATGCCTGTACCACCACAGTATATTGTAGGTAAATAACTTGTTTTTAATCTCACTGGTTCATAGGTGAAAAAAAGAGAAAAAACCCTCATCTCCATGTGAAACTCTGGACTTGTGACTTGGAATTTGGGACTTTTGAGTAATACTGGAAAAAGTTATAACTTTGGGGAACTATTGTGAAGTTGATATTGTATTTTAAAATGTGAAAAATACATAGGTTTTGAGGGGCCAGGAGTAGAATGATATGATTTGGATGTTCCTCCCCTCAAAATCTCCTGTTGAAATGTGATTCCCAGTATTAGAGGTGGGTCCTGGTTGGAGGTGATTACATGGTGAGGATGGATCCCCGATGAGTGGTTTAGACCAGCCCTTTGGTGATAACTGACTTTTTGCTCAGTTAGTTCATGTAAGACCTGAAAGACTTTAAAAGAGTCTAGGAACTTTCCCTTGGCTCTCTCTCTTCCCATGTGACATGCCTACTCCTGCTTTGCCTTCTTCCATGAGTAAGAACTCCCTGAGTCCTCCCCAGAAGCAGACCAGATTTAGGTGTCATGCTTCCTGTATAAGCTGCAGAACTGCAAGTCAACTAAATCATTATTCTTTTAAATTACCCAGCCTTAGGTATTTTTTTGTGGTGATGCAAAAATGTCCTAATTCAACTAGTAAAGGGAATTACAGTGACTGAGTGAGACCCATATTTATAGACACTTTCCCTGTGGGTACTCCCAGTTCTCAAGTGTAACAGCTAGAACTCAAGTAGAATGCATCAGAATTACTGAGTTGTGATATCGGCGTAGAGATTTCAGGCTACCAGGGTGGTTATAAATGAAGAGTAATCGCAGAAAGTAGGGAGACACAAAGACAATAACATTAATACCTGCCAATTAAAAATTCCTCAAATCCTTGACTGACTGTGGAACTGTGTGTCTATTGGGGACACTCTAATAATGCCAGCAGAAAGCAGAAGGCTGCAGCTGAAAGGACTGGACAGAGATTTCAATTACTGTATACAGCAAATGAAATACTGTTTGGAATCTGAATAACACCAAGGATAGAGGAGCCTAGTAAAATCTTCAGGTATTCAATAGTCCTGCTTTAAAGCATAAACCAATGGCTCTGGATGTTAAAGGTGATCAGCCCGCAAATGCCTGCCAGAGAATGATTTCTCCTTAGAGGAGGAAGACGTAACTCAGATATATTTATTTGCAATGCCCTGTGTGTAGTAAAAAAGTAATATCCACTGTAAGAAAAAGAAAATCATGACTCATCATCCAAAAAAAAAAAAAACACCAGCCCATAGAAATACATGACAAGGTGACACACATGTTGGTATAAAGTAGTAAAACAGTATGTTAGGGTGTTCTTGCATTGCTGTAAAGGAATGCCTGAGACTGGATAATTTATAAAGAAAAGACGTTTAATTGGCTCATGGTTCTGCAGGCTGTACAAGAAGCACAGTGTCAGCATCTGCCTCTGGTGAGGCATCAAGAAGCTTACAATCGTGGCAGAAGGCAAAGGGGGAGCAGGTGTATTAATGGAAAGAGCTGGAGTCAGGGAGAGAGGGGAAGGGACACACTCTTTTAAATAACCAGATCTCATAGGAACTACCAGAGCAAGAACACACTCATCACTAAGGCACTAAGCCGGAGATTCTCCCTTATAATCCAAATACCTCCCAACAGGCCACCTTTAACACTGGGGATTACATTTCAACATGAGATTTGGCAGGGACACAGATCCAAACCCTATCAAACAGTTATTATAAGTTAAAAAGTTAAGAAAATCATGGTCTTAGTGAATGAACAGATGTGAAATCTCATCAAAAGACATGGAAGCTGCACAAATGAACCAAACAGAAATACTAGCACTGAAAAGTGTTAATACTGTAACGTACTTAACAGTAGATTGAAATAAGGGTCAGCATATTTTTGAGAGAGAGCCATAGAAATTATTTAACTTAAAGAGAAAAAAATCAGAAAATAAAGTCTTAGTGAGCTGTGAGTCAATATCATATGATCCAACATACAATTAATTGAACTGAATTTCCAGAAGGAGACGAGAGAGGAATGGGGACGGTGCAGTAAAGAAACAATGACTGAAAGTTTTTCAAATTTTGTGAATAATATCCACTTATGTATCTATGAAGCTCAGAAAACCACAGCAGAATAAATACAAAAAGAACCATATGTCATAGACTAACTGCAGACAATGATAAAAAGTTACTCTTAAAATCAATAATATGCATTCTGTCAGATAAAAATGGAGGTCAAAATTGTTGGGGAATAAAATAAAAAAATCTGTACACCCAGAATTCTATAACCAGTAAAAATACCATTACAAAATTCATACAAAATAAAAACATTTTTAGATTTAAAATATCTAAAAAGAATTTGTCTGTAGCTGTTCTGCACTACAAGAAATACTAAAGGGACTAGGTATAGTGGCTCACACCTGTAATCCCAGCACTTTGGTAGGTCAAGGCAGGCAGATTGCTTGAATCCAGGAGTTTTAGACCAGTCCAGGTAACATAGCCAAATCTCGTCTCTCAAAAAAAGAAAAAAAAAAAATTAGCTGGGCATGGTGGCGTGCGCCTGTAATCTCAGCTACTTGGGATGCTGAGGTGGAAGAATCACCTGAGCCCAGGAGGTGGAGGCTGCGGTGGGCTGAGGTTGTGCCACCGTACTCCAGCCTGGGCAACCAGAGTGAGACCCTGTCTCAAAACTAACAAGAAATACTATAGGGAAGTCTCTAGCCTGAAGGTAAGTGATAATAGGTGAAACTAAGATCTGCAAGAAAAAAACGAGGAGCCCAGGAAATTGTGTGTATGTGGAAATATAGAAAAGCTATTTTCTTCTTCTTTTAATTTCTGTAAAAGATAACACACTATTTAAGCAAAACTTAAAACATTGTGTTGTGTAGTCTATAACTAATGGGTATGTAAAATCTGACAGCATTTGCACATATAATTGAGGAACTGTCAAGTAGTTGTAAATTTCTTAACTTTACGTGAAGTGGTACATTATTAACTCTAAGTAGACTGTGGTAACATAAGAACAACCAGTGAAAGGGAAATAACACGAAGAAATACAGCTTGGAGCAACAGAGCAACTAAAATGGTATTAGTATAAAAAGGATTGAATTTGTCATCCCTGGAAATGTCGTGGATAGTCATCAGATCAGGAAATTTCAGAAAGACAGGAAATTGATTACTTCTTCTTCCCCTCGAAAGTTGTGATTTGGGGTGTATGACATACTTGATTTTATTTTAATGCCTCAAAGCAAAATGTTTCACAAGACATGTTTTGCTCTTGAAATTTCTGGCATCTTTCATGTGGCCACTATGGATGTTTACATTCATAAGCTCAATTACTTGGCCTCTTTCATAAATTTAAAACAAAGGTAACACATGCTGTTATAATTTAGTTTCACCACCAGTTTCTTTGTTTTATGCTTTCAATAAAATACTATGTCTGCATTTGAGAAATGTTCTGTGCAATTATTCCTGAGAAGAACAGTATGAATTTTTAAATCTATTCTCACAGGAATATTAACAAATAACACACATATAAAGGAAAATGGAAAATGCTAGAACTCCACTCCCACACCCCTTCCCCATCCAACCCTCTCCCACAATGGGGTTCTGCCAAGTACTCCTCAGAGCTTAATCAAACTTACTTCTGTCCAGTTCTGATTCTTTATAAGGTGAGACGACCTTCAGGTTCTCCCACTTCCCGTCAGTGTATTGTGCTTCTCTCCAAGCACCACCACAGAACTGAATCCCATTGGTTTGAAAGAAGTATTTGTGCCTAACAGTAATAAGCAAATGACATTTTTCTCCCAATGTCAGAAAACATGGGCAACCTGCTCCCTTTCCCCTTTCTTGGCGTCTCTCCCACCTTCCCTCCAAGATCAAATTGGCCTCCCCCAATTCTGTGGAAAAGAAAACAGAATTCCTGGGCCCCATGCCCAAGTGTTTCCAGCCAGCACGGCATTGCCAAGGCTAAATCACCAAGCCGAGGACCTGGGGATGGGCGCAAATGCAAATCAAAAAGGCTCTTGAGAAAGAGGGGTTTCTTCATTTTCTTTCTAGGCTCAGTAATCTATGAACAAAGCTCCTTTTCCCAGGCCCTGCAACCTGCCCCTCTGATAGGAAGTGACCGTGGGCTGGCTTTTATCTTTTCTTTCACCTCTTATTAGAGTAGTGACAACTTGTTTTCTTCATTTCTTCCTCCCATTCGGGTTTTAGGTTTCAGCGGACTTCAGGGTGCCCCACCCCCTCCAGGAAGACGCCCCCGCGGGCTGGCAGCTCTCCCAGCGCGGGGCGGGGTCCCAGACGGGGCGGCCGCGCGCGGGGAAGGAGGGTCCAGGCGAGCCGGACCCGCCCCCGGACCCCGCGCCTTGCCCTCCCCTCCGCGCGTTTACTTTGTTTATAACTTGAAAAATCCTCTTCCGTCTCCCTTCCCTGCCTCCTCTCCTTTCCCTTTCCTCTGCCAATACAACTAGACCCGCGTGTGGCGTCGCCGGTGCCCAGCATTCTGCGGGGCAGGCGGTGAGTGGGGCTGGACAGGCGGGCGAAGAGCAGGACTGGGTGGCGCGGGCGCCCGGGCTGCGGGGCCGAGGTTGTGGTGAGGGGAGGCCCGAGGCCGCGGTGCCTGCGGGCAGGCGCGGGGGTCGCGCGGCGTCCTGCGCTGGCGGTTCCCAGACACTGCGCTCGCGTCGCATCCTCAGGTGGTTGCAGAAGTTTCGTGGTGTCGGGCGTGCGTCTGCGGTGGAGACGCAGCAGGTTTGGGAGCGAGCAGTTTCCTGCCCAGGGATGGGGGTCCTGGCAGCACTTCACGGGGGCGGCCCTTTCGTTTCGGTCTGCGTGACAGGTCTCGCTTGATCGGGTTTCTCTTGGGTCTCTAACTGGCGTTTCTACGGCTTGGCTCTCACGAACTCAGGCCAGGCCACTCGCAGGTAAAAACGCTTTATGGTAACTTCTCTACATGCTCGGCGAGTGGAGGCGGTGACAGGAGAGAATCTGTCTCTCATATTGTCAATTCGGGCAAACTGGGGCGATTTGGAGCTGTGGTTGATTTGTTTTTAGAAATAAAACGTTCATATTTAAAGACTTAGAATTTTATTTTGTGGCCTTATTTATCTTCCCTTGGGATCTGCAATTTAGTTTTTAATTTTATATTGCATTTAAAATGGAGCCACCAAAATAAGTACATGAAGATACAATGCACCAAACTTGATACTACTTAAACGGGAGTAGATTTCCTAATTTAATTGCATTCTCCTGTAATGGTAATACAAGACAACCTCCATCTGTCTATCTGCCCTCATGGTTAGCTGTGAAATACTAGCGGCATTTCCATTAAATGTAAAAAAGACAAGAATTCTAATCATTACACTCTGTGACATGGTTGTGAATTCCATAGGCGAGTGACAACAGGTAGGGGACATATAATCACTTTATGCACGATGTGAGTGGATACCTTAATGTCCATAGGAAACACTGAAATTTGATGGGAAGCATAAGTGAATTTATCAAAGTTTCCAATTGCATCATACTTAATTTATAGAAATCAATTGATGTTTATACATAAACTAGATAATACAATTAAACAAAGTAAAATTCAGTTTGGCATGAAATAACACAGAATTGAGAAATTATTTTTAAGAAGGTATAAAAAGATATGCATGAGAATCCAAAAAAGTACATAACATTCTTCTGGGTACAGATATCATTTCTCTAAAACAACGTATAAGTAGAATCCTAACTGAATATTTTTGTTACTGTTTTTAACTGTACTGTTTAGCTCATGTGAAAGAACATATATTAATGTTATGTATATTACAAATGATAATATACAAAATATATAATTATTGTATATATTATATATAATTTTAACGTTTAATATTATACATATTCACATATATATAGTGGAGACTTTTTCATATAATAAAAGGTGTTATAAAACTATGGTGATTAAAAGTCAGTGCAATAGAACTACTACCAGATGTGTAAATGAAACTGAAGAGACATGGAAGAATAAAAAGAAAGCTGGGATTTGATAAGCTTACATTTTAAATCAGTGGGAGGGAAGAAGAAATAACATTTAATTGAATGTGCTTGGACAAACAGGAATTTATTTGGGAAACCTAATAATAAAACTGGAACTTTTCCTCACTGTTAACAGACAAATGTAGTCCAGATGGCTTACTAATTTAAATCTAAATATATGCAATCTAAAAAGGAAAAAAGAAAGCCCAAATAGGTATTTGTGCACACTGGATGCTGGAAAAGCATTTCTAAGCATAATACAAAAACCTAGACCCATTTAGGGACATGATTTTTATTAACATTTCCATCCCCCAAAAAAGATACAAACTGGGGACGTTGTTAATAGAAAAAAAAGATAATTTTGCTAATATACCTAGAAAATTTATTAATGACCTTCAAAATCAATGACCCAGTTAAGGATAAAATGAGTCAACTCAAAGCAAAAGAAATAATAAGCAAATAATAAGCAGAGTGAATACTGTTAGTCACACTGATTATCCAAAACATATATAAAGTAAGACATCAATTTTTGCATTAATTTTACAAATTTTGAAAGTCTGACAACTTTAGGTGTTGTTGAAAATGCAATGAGGAAAATATAATTTTGCAAACTTTTGTGGAAATGTGAATTGGTGAAACTGTTTTTAGGGTTAAAGCTGTTCAAATTTACAAATGTTCATTTACTTACTGGAATTTTTCCATCAAAACATGCTCCCAAGTGTACCAATAAAAATGTCTGTCAAAGATGTTTAAAGTAGGATTGTTTACAGTGTAGAAAACATGGATACAACTCTGTAGCCATTTATCGGGAATTGGTTACATAATGTATGGTATCTTCAAAGGTAGAATAATACACAGTTTAAAACACTGTAGCTCTAAATGTTCTAACTTGGAATATGTCCAAAACATAAGTTAAAGTTAAAACACAAAATGAAACAAAGAACAAGTTAAAACACTGTGTGTGTGTGTGTGTGTGTGTCTGTGTGTGTAGTAAATATTTTTGTAAATAATTTGGAATATACGTTGAATTGTATTATGAGTAGGGATGTTGTATTACACACTTCTATAATGTATGCATGTGTATAAGAAAAAATTGATAGTGATTGGTAATTTATACAGAATATTGCCTTCTTGAATATATTAATTGTCGTTTACTACAGAAGAAATATATTTCACAAAACCTTTCATATTGTCTCATTTTTTTTTCTTTTAGAAGTGTCCTCTTTCAGCTGCTTCCTTTAAAGTCCCCTTCCTTTTTCTCCTTCCCTAATATTGATGTTTATGATGTTTATTGCAAGCACAGCAGTGAAGAATTTTGCCTGAGAGATTTCACAACCAGTTAACTTTCATAAACAAAAAATACAGGAATGTTCATACTCATAATGTTCACCAGCATTGTACTAAAATTCATTTTTATGGTGCTCGTCCTTCAGTATGAAAGAGATAGATATGCTAGTCCTTAAGAAGGAAAACATCTAAAATTGGACTGCAAAAAAATTTGTTTTTAATTGCATGATAAGGCTGGGTGGCGGTGGCTCATGCCTATCATCACAGTACTTTGAGAGGCAGGAGTGGGCAGATTGCTTTAGCCCAGGAGTTTGAGAGCAGCCTGGGAAACATGGCGAAATGCCACCTCTAAAAAAATTTAAAAATTAGCCAGGCATGGTGGCACCCACCTGTAGTCCCAGCTGCTCAGGAGGCTGAGGCAGGACAATTGATTGAGCCTGAGAGGTCAAGGCTGCAGTGAGCCATTATCATGCCACTGCACTGCAGCATGGGCAACAGAAAGAGACCTGGTCTCAAAATTAAAATTGCGTGACAAAAATGCAGTGAAGACAAATAGTAAGTTTTGAAAGGATAATTTTAATACAAAATTTTAATACCTTTCATATAAAGAAGACAGAAATAAAAAGCTAACAGAAATGAACAAATGACAAACCGGCAGTTCACAGAAATAGAGTTGCAAATTGCTTTCAAACAAATAATAAAAGTGGCTCAGCCTCCTCATTATAAGATGTATGGAAAATAAAACCAATTTTTTTTTTTAACATATCCGATTGACAACTACAAAAATGTTGATAAAATACTGTGTTAGGGATGTAACTTTTTGTCTGGAGTCTAAATTGATTCAAATTCTTTAGAGTGCAACTGGATAGTATCTTTAAAAATGTACAAAACTTTGATCCATCAATTCTCCTTTCAATAATTTAATGCACAGATACACAGGAAGAAAATATTTTTTTCAGCATTTTTGATAATAGCCTAAATTTGGAAACGATTTAAGTTTTTGTCATTAAGCAGCCAGTTAAATGCATTATGTTTCAGCCATTAAAAAGAATAAGGTTATATGGACTGAAATGTAATTAACATCAACACATTTTAATAAATGAAAAGACAAAGACACAGAAAAGTATATAGATGATTGCCATTTGTATAAAAACGATGTATATTTATATATGCTTAGAAAATCTCTTGGAAGACAAAAAAAAATCTAATGTCTGTGGTTGCCTTTTGAAATGGGAAATGGGAATTGGAGAAGGTGGGGTTTTTTTGTATACATGTATTGTGTAAATTTATGCACTGCTGGTTCCTTGAATTATATTTGTGTTTGCACATAACATCTATTTTTTTAAAATCTGTTTTCATAAATGTAAAGTTTCTTATTGAAATGGCTTAACTGTATGCAACATGACATCTTGTTTTACTACAATTTTAAATACTAAAAGACTAGCTGTAAAGTGACAATGAGGTGTTATTGGTAATCACAGTTGGCATGGTAATGTTTTCTTAATGTCTTGTATAAACATCATGAGAATATTGTTCGGATATTTTTGTGCTCTAAATAACAAAAACATTTCCCGCTTGAAAGCTAAAAAGGAGACACCTGATATTCTCTTTAAACAATTTGAACCAAATTAATATGTTTAATAAAGGTTATGTATGGACTGTGGCTATCAATTTGCTTTCATTTAATCTCATCTTTTATTTTATATTAAAGCCAAATAGCTAACCTCCAAGATCCTTTACATTTGCTAAAGAGAATGAAATATTCTACCATACATGTTTTCTTTTAAAGGAGTCATGATGTTAATAAAATAATAAATATATTGATATAGGTTATAAAAACAACACTATAAAATCTTAGGTTTTGCCCTTTTAATTTGTTGAAAATTAATCACTCCCTAAGTTTCTTCTAGAATTGATTTTATGCAAAGATACAATTAAATACATATGGGTTAACATGTGATTATAATGAAGATACTGTATATTTATGGGACATTCTTGCTGCAGCATATTTTATCAACATGGACCTAGGTTTATCTTTTGTGCAAGCCTGCAATTAGTTTTTCTAATTCCAGCCCATGTGACAGCAACTTATTAAGTTTACAAGATGTCTACAGAAATGACTGAATTCTTCAGTCATTGGACTTCAATCCACTGATGTTAAGCCCACTGAACTATCCAGTTCCCTGTAGCCAAGAAACCCATAAAAGTAATCA